CTTATTTTCATTGTGTGAATAGATTAGTCACACAAGTCTCTTCTTCAGGCTCAGAGTCAGATGCTGGTGATGCTTTGAATGTGTTTGTTTCAGTGGTTCTTCCAGTCAGCTGATCGCTCAAAGGTTTTATTCCATTCATTTTCTATTGAACATGTTAAACCTCTGATTATTGGTTTAATGGGCTGTTGGTAAATGATGGAGACAAAGCATTTCACTGGGAACGCCTCTCTGAAGGAAAGAAAAGAAAGATTCATGTCTGAAGGATGAAGGTCAGTTGCATTTATTCTGAGGAGATCTTCTCCACTGACTGAACGCCGACTGTCCTTCTCAGGATTCAGAATCAGTCTGTGTTCACTGGAGGAGCTCACATCTCTGGATGTTTTGCTAACATCAGTGGGTTAAGGCTGTGTCAATAGGCAGGGCTCGTTAATCCACCCCCCCCATGGATTACAGGATGGCGGGACGGCAGAAGTAATATCATGATAGGTGCAGGATGTAATAAATTAACACCATCATTACATCAGTTCTCCACCGAACCATTTGACCTGGAAGCAGCGAACGTGGAATCAGACTCTGATCATCCTTTAATCTGACAGCTGATGTGATCAACAAGTTTAAAGACAAGGAGAAAACAGTCTGAATACGCATCCACAGAAGTCCACCGTCCACAAAACCCCTCTGGCCTCTAATGTGTCCACACCAATCAATAAGACAACCTACTAATAAAAAAGAAAAACCTGATGGCGTGAATGCAAATATATGACCTCAGCAGGAAAACCTTTCAGACTTTCAAACATCACAGGAAGCAGTAATTAAATCACGCTGCTGTTTAACACTAAACCTTACAGTTTGACCTGGTGACTTTAACACCTTTTAGACAGAGACCATAGAAAGATAATAAAAACATCTGATTATAAAAAACATAAAATCAACCATTGCTGGGTTTTTAACACTAACTGGACCTACAGATGGATCAGAAGATAAACCATCAGTCTGTGAACAAATATATAATATTGATCAGGACCTGATTTCCTTCTTTCATCTGAGGAATATTGCA